ACAACACGACCGTTAATACTGTAATTTTTATTTTAAGAAGAAGTAAATAAACATAATGTGATTAAAATTTACTTATATATGAAAATTAACACGACATATGGGAGGTCCATTCAGCCGCGCAAATAGATTTATTGTAGTAAGCAGTGCATCTGCAACTAAAGTAAAATTATTTTGTTCGTGCAGTTGAGGTCATAAATCATAGCTCGGCCTCAGCCCGGCTAGGGTGGTGTGCGTGTTTAGCGGGCGCAACGCCATTATCGATAACAACAAATGAATAACCGAAGGCAGGTACACGGCATGGTAATTTTAATGTAAATAGTTTTAGATTTAATTTTAGATATAAGTTATTATATTTATATTTATTTTTAATATAACTTGTTACATTCCAAACATTTGTACTTATAGGTTTTTTAATACATAGATTCCTAATTAATAATTTATTTTAAATCATTATTATTCTTATTTTAATGAATACGTTATTTTATCTAATTTTTTTTTCATTTTAATCACTAAACCACATAATGAAAAAACTATATACACTATCGATAACGCTTATCGACAACAATAATGCGCATCACTATGCTTGCCTCTAAGGCCCGTGAGTGGGAGGGAGAGCGAAATACTCCGAAGATTTATCACCCAAACTGCACGGAGAAAATAATTCTAGTGAAGTTTTATTGTACGCAATTTATATTTTGACAGAGGGGAACTCCTGCGTATGGTTACGCCCCTCCGATCCGCCGGTTGCCCGTGTTGCACTATATTAACGAGTATGCTAGGGCTGAATCTGAATGACAGAATGAGAAATTGTGTGATAAGAGAAAAGTGTGGTTTGCAAGATGATGTTGTGACCAGGATTAAAAAAGAAATGTTTAGTCATATAGAAAATAATAAGAAGAAAATTAACATTGAAAGGAAGGAAAGTAGGGTAATATTGGGGCTGCTGCATCACTCACATCCGTTCGCGATACAGTTCGCACCAATACTACACTAAACAGCTCTACATTTCCATTTTTTAACTAAGCAGATGTCTTCTCAATTCTGTATCACTTTTAATCTTTTTAATTGTTTCTTCAATTAAGTAAGTGGTTGGAATTGTGTTCTGTAATTTTCGAATTTTAAATATTTCTGGCGACCAATTTGGAGTATATCCTTTTTCGAATGTACCTTTGTATTTGCTTATACACACATATTCACCTACTTTAAACTTACGTTTTACATTATCATTATTAAGGTGTCTCTGTAGTATTCGTTTTTTACTTTTATTAGTAACATTGGCTGGAATTTCAACAATAGTTCGATGGTAAGTGTGATTGTATTCGTAAATAACATTATTAAGAGTCTGTAACCATAGTTGTCGGCTAAATCGTGCGTAGTACTTCCAACAACTACCGGTATAGGTGTGATATGGACTTTTTTTTTTATAGGAGAGGGGGCAAACGAGCATGCGGCTCACCTGATGATAAGTGACTACCGCCGCCCATGAACAACCGCAACACCAGGGGAATTGCAGATGCGTTGCCGGCCTTTTAAAAAGGAGTAGGCTCTTTTCTTGAAGGTCCCTAAGTCATATCGGTCCGTAAAAATCGCTGGTGGTAAACTATTCCACAAGGAAGTTGTGCGAGGAAGAAAACATCTTCTAAATCGCACAGTGGTGGACCGCCAATCATCCAGATGGTGTGGATGGTATCGGGAGTTCTGCCGCGATGTGCGTTCGTGAAATTTGGCGGCTGGGATTAATCCGAACAATTCCTCAGAGCACTCCCCATGGTAAATGCGAAAGAAAATGCTAAGAGATGCAACATCTCTTCGCAGTGCCAATGAGTCGAGCCGATCGGAAAGGACTCGGTCGCCGACGATTCGAGCCGCTCTGCGCTGGATGCGGTCAAGTGGAAGAAGCTGGCACTGGGGAGCCCCAGCCCAGAGATGGGAACAGTATTCCATGTGAGACCGAACCTGCGCCTTGTAAAGTTGCAGGCGTTGAGCCGGCATGAAATACTGTCCCGCTCTGCTGAGCACGCCAAGCTTTTTAGAGGCCAATTTACTTAATTGACTTAGCAGATGACCTTTGCTTTGTCCATTTTCATCTTAAGACCTATCCGTTGGGAGACACTATTGAGGTCTTTGAGTAAACTGTTTAGGTCCTCCAGCGATTCCGCCATAAGAACTATACCATCGGCAAATCAAAAGTGAGTTATGTACTTGCATTGATGTTAGCAGCGGGGAAGAGTTTTGGGGATAAAACGTCAAGCTTTCTTTCACCTCTCTGCAGTTGGATAGGTTTCGTACTCTGGTCTTGTATTCGGAAACGTATATCGTAGCCCTAGCGTACAAACATTTCAGCACGACGATACGTCGACAGTCAACTTGGCACCATTAAAGGGACTGGAGCACCGCCCTCTTGACGGAATGAAAGGCTTTCTTATAGTCCATATATGCAAGCAGTGCAGTATGACAAAGTGTAAAAATGTATCTTCTCTTGAACTCTTCTGTAAAATTTTCCTTAAGGTGTGAATGTGGTCTTTGGTGCTAAAGCGTTATTGGAAACGGCTTGGTCGGGAAGTCGTCGAGTCTGCGATCGAGACCGTGTATTGACGGTGTAAGAACCCCATATTTTCCCTTGGGTGTTGGAAAAGGCGACAGAGGGAAACTGAGACAGGAGATGGTCAACAGCATCTTCCTGATAATAGCAAAACTACAATAACATTCTGGTCTCTCGCCAAGGCTGTCCAAGGGAATTTCTGTAAGCCATCACTACCATCTCTGCACAGGGAGGACGATTCACTGGCCCATGCCGTAAAAGACAAAGCCGACCTTTTAGGCTCCCCTTTTGCATCCAACTCGACTCTTGATGACGGGGAGAAAACACCGCCGACCATCCCGCGGTGTGAGCCGGATGTGCTATTCTCACAGCGCTTGGTTCGCAAAGCACTCCTCTCCCTGGACATCCAGAAGACGGAATCCCCCCAATTGTGCTGAGGACGTATGCTCCGGAGTTGGCACCGTTCTTAACGCGACTTTTCCGATACTCCTGCTCCTAAGGCGTAATCCCGAATTCATGGTAGACAGCTTTTGTCCACCCGATCCCTAAAAAAGGCGACCGCTCAGACCCGTCCAACTATAGGCCTATCGCCATTACCTCCTTGTTCTCCAAAATAATGGAATCCATTATTAACTGCCAGCTCATGCGGTACCTTGAGGATCACCAGCTGATTAGTGACCACCAATATGGTTTTCGTCGGGGTTGATCAGCTGGTGATGCTCTGGTCTACCTGACCCATAGATGGGCGGAGGCAGTAGATTCCAAGGGGGAGGCGTTGGCCGTTAGTTTGGACATTGCGAAGGCCTTTGATCGGGTTTGACACAAAGCGCTTCTTTCGAAGCACCCCTCCTATGGGCTTCCCGAGAAATTGTGCAATTGGATCACCAGCTTCCTTGCAGATCGGAGCATCAAGGTCGTTGTAGATGGTGCATGCTCCGACTACAAGCCTATTAACGCTAGTGTTCCACAAGGTTACCAACGCTGTTTCTTCTGCATATCAATGATATGTTGCAAACCGGTAGCATTCATTGCTATGCGGATGACAGCACTGATGATGCTCTATACACCGGCCGTGCCAATATTTCTCGGGAAAACGTCGCCGAGTACCGGAACAAACTTGTGTCTGAAGTCGAGTTTCTGCTGAACAAAGTTTCGGATTGGGGGCGACTAAATCTAGTCCAGTTTAATCCTCAGAAGACACAAGTTTGCGCGTTTACCGCTAAAAAGAACCCCTTTGTCGTATCTTCTCAGTTTCAAGGCACTCTCCTTCTTGCCTCAGCCAGTATCGGAATCCTCGGAGTCGACATATCGAGTGACGTGTAGTTTCGTGGTCACTTGGAAAAGAAGGCCAAATTGGCCACTAAAACGCTTGGCGTGCTCAGCAGAGCGGGACAGTATTTCATGCTTACACACCGCCTGCAATTTTACAAGGCGCAGATTCGGCCTCACATGGAATACTGTTCCCATCTCTGGGCAGGGGCTCCCCAATGCCAGCTCCTTCCACTTGACCGCATCCAGCGCAGAGCGGCTCGAATCGTCGACGACCGAGTCTTTTCCGATCGGCTCGATTCATTGGCACTGCGAAGAGATGTTGCATCCATTTGCATTTTCTTACGCATCTACCAAGGGGAGTGCTCTGAGGAATTGTTCGGATTAATCCCAGCCGCCAAATTTCACGAACGCACATCGCGGCAGAACTCCCGATACCATCCACACCATCTGGATGATTGGCGGTCCACCACTGTGCGATTTAGAAGATGTTTTCTTCCTCGCACGACTTCCTTGTGGAATCGATTACCATCAGCGATTTTTCCGGACCGATACGACTTAGGGACCTTCAAGAAAAGAGCCTACTCCTTTTTAAAAGGCCGGCAACGCATCTACAATTCCCCTGGTTCCCCTAGTGTTGTGGTTGTTCATGGGCGGCGGTAATCACTTACCATCAGGTGAGCCGCATGCTCGATTGCCCCCTCTCCTACAAAAATAAAAAAAATAAAAACTGAGTATGCCAACTGTCTTGCCAACCCGCTTGCAAAACGTGGCAACTATGGAAAAAGTCATCCCATTAGCAACGACAGAATGTTAAGAATCTCCGGTAGAGTTTCGGATGCCACGTTGCGACCTGGCCACATTAAACGCACGCACCCTGAGGACAGACGAAAACATGCCGAAGCTGAAGGAAGAGATCACCCTACCTAAGATTACTAGAGATTCAATAAAATGACAATCACACAAGTATAGACATTGATCAGTACTTCGTTCTTAGCAAGACGCTGACCGCTAGATTATATTTAGTTAACAATTAACTTAATAATTATCATAACAATGAATAGAACAGCTACAAGCTGAGAACTTGTTGATAAGTGAAATTTAATTTTACGTATATATTGTGAGGCTGGCTGCACGGCTCGCTATTTGCTTACTTGACGTTTACAAGTCCATAACATTGATTGTTGTGATGGGAGTGTTGTGGTTTTTGTTTGTGATACTGGCAGCGGGGAAAGCCCTTGAGTTAACAAGTAAGTTAGATTTTTCGTAACGTTGTAAGAATTTATTTATAAATATAATTTACACTTTATTGTTTACACATTCACAAAACGGATACAAAGGTTGGACTCGAATGACTGTCTCATTGATCTAGTGGTCGTTAGCGGTGTCTCATCCCCGTACCTCGGAAAGTACGTAAAGCCGATCCTGCGCATGAACTCTCTCCGGTCGTGTTATATAACCGTCCCATCGGACTGTGAGAGTGAGAGAATAGGGAGTGCACTTGTGCTTGCCTATATTCTAGGGCATACAATCCTCTCTTGCTGCGCAGATGTCTAGTCTCCGTTGAGACTGGCCGCCGTGACTGAACTCGGTCTTGAACACATTATACAAAGGGCGGACTAAATGCCTTTAAACATTCACTTCAAGTCAACCCTGGGCGTAGTGAAATTATGTGATAGGTGCATCATATGTAAATAAAACATAAACGTAGAAGTATAACAGATATTGCTCTTAATTGCTTAATTGCTCTCCTATATTAATATATTCCTATATTATATAGAATATTATACGTAACTGGTTCAAGGTGACAACTGGCAAGGTGAAAAGAATGCCGTTCAAATAGATATATTAAAAATGTTTACCCTCTATTTTCCCATCCTTTGTTATGGAATCACTTCTAGAAGTATAACCAATTTTGATAAAAAAAAGAATGCCCAAAATCAGTTCAGCCGTGTTCGAAAAATCGATGAACATACGTAATTAGTAATAACTATTAACACACTAAATAACCATTGCATGATATTGTGGTTATATCGTAAAATATTGGTAGTTTCATTATTCACCGCTAGCGGTGCTGATAGCGCATTTATGACAGAAACAGAACTTTTAACTAGATCCACATCCCTTTATGACTAATTTATATATTGCACGCACGGAGCAAATACAAAGAGGAGGTGTTGTAATTAGATTTCACTAAGTAACAACGCGTGTCAATTTGCGGGGTGAGGTAAAGCCCCGCCCACTTAACTATTTCTATCTACCGATAAATACTAAAACTACTTGCATCGTTCCATATCAACGTTGTAATGTAGTTTAGCTACCTTGACGATAGATTTTTTACATGGTAGAGCCATGCTGCAGCTATATTAGTAGTATAGTTGTAGCACGAATGGGTCGGCTCGACCGGCGAAGGACCACGCTCTCACAGAAAACCAGCGTAAAATAGCAGCTTAACGCTGCTGTGTTTCGTATGGTGAGTGTAGACAACCGGAGACCTTTTTTACTGGCAAAGAGGCATTCCATCTTAGTCCTCACGGGTGACAACGCATCTGCATCTTAAGTCTTTATCGAGGATAAATGTAGATATCTATGGGTCACAGTAACCACTTACCATCAGATGGGCTGTGTGCTCGTTTGTCACCCTATCCTATAAAAAAAAGATGGCGTCAAGCTATTTTGTGGTCTTCAAATGCCTCTATCATAACCATATTGTACTTATACGATAATATGAGTAGCCGTATATCAAACCGTATATAAAACACTCTCATTAATCCATCTTATGTTTTCTAAAAAAGCATTTTATATTGCCACTTTGATAAAAAACGGCTTGAAAAAAAAATTTGATGTGGACGTCTGGATGTTGATTTTGTATGTGGTCACGATAACTCCCGAAAAAATTAACGTATCGAGACCGGGTTTTTTATTAGCTTCAGAATTACGTCAACTGGTTCCCTATTTCATATCAATAGCCTAGTACGTGTCGTTAGTTAATAAAATGATTTTCAAGTTTTATAAATTTTATTGCTATTTAAAATTTATAGGCGCTTTCATTTTCTTCTTTAGCTCTTGATAGACAAAGGACAAATGTACCATACAGCCTATATCGATTTTATACCTACTTTGTGTAATCGATTTTTTTGGTGATTTATTTTTTTCATCAAAATCAAATGAAATGTTTATGAGGCGTGCACTTTAGGATTTTCCAAACTATTAAACTACTGTCATTATATTACTAGATAAAACAGTTTTGGCTTTCATAGTTTTAATCTAATAATAGCGCCATCTACTTACTGTTAAATTAACCAATATTAAGTATCTAACTGTAAAAATTAAATGGAATACTTTATTCTTGCAGCATTAAAAATTATCAATGTCTTAAAATATCCAGACTGGTGGCTACTATAGGGATAATTTACTGTAACTGCCACGTTTAGCATTTTTTCATGATATTGTGATCATATCGTAAAATACTGATAGTTTTATTATCTGGAGGATAGTATTAATATGGGGCGGATTCTCTTACGCCGAACCTCACAGCACAGCAAAACCATTATTGCATTACACATGTTCTGTTTAACTTGGTATGCATATATTTTTAACGACATACTCGTATGAGTGTCACCACCGATGTGTTTTGCATATAACTATTTTGTGCATTAAGTTAAATAAATCTTTCGGAGGTCTCTTACATCGTCAAATTATTTATATACAATATGTTATTATCATTTAGATCAGCAGTATCATCAGATGCCACAGCTGTTTCAGCTAGACGACTACGAGAAGTGCCTTGCGAATCGACGTGGTGCCTACTGCCTCGGTAGCTTCGACCTTGCAGCATCGCCTAATAACAGCTTGTTTAATGTCATACAGGTAAATTATCTTAAAGTAAAAATTATAATTACCTAACAATTGGCCTAAATAAGTCACACTGTTTGGCAGACTTAGAACTTCGATGGAATTTCGAGCTCTGTTGCACCGTAATATCGTGGAATTCAGCAGCTGTAATTAATCCGAACAATTCCTCTAAACACTCCCCGTAGTATATGTAGTTTGTTAAAGATGCACAGAGCTGCAACGTCTCTTCGCCAGGCCAGTGTATCAGGCCGAACGGAAAGAACTTGGTCGTCGACGATTCGGGCCGCTTCGTTAAATACGGTATTGTAAGTTTCTTGAAATGTCGACGTCAAGAATTTCGATGCTGGCTACTCTTTTTTGCGGTAAATGCGGTGACAACACTGACGATGCCTTATTAGGCATATCAATGAATATTTTTTTTATAGGATAAGGGTGACAAACGAGCACACAGTCCACCTGATGGTAAGTGGTTGCTGCGGCCCATAGACATCTACATCTATCCTCTATTACAAATCAAAATGTAGATGCGTTGTCACCCGTGAGGACTAAGATGAAATGCCTCATTTCCAGTAAAAAGGGCCTCCGGCCACCTGCACTCACCAAGCGAAACGCAGAAGTAAACCTCTACTTCACGCTGGTTATGACTAGTATGCAACATATCATTGATATTGTAACGACTCCCCCCCCCCCCCCCTCTATACATATTTTTGTCTTTCTTTAGAATTTATATCTATAAGATATAAAAGTATATCAAATTTACGTGACCAGTATATTAACCATATATTGATCTTTCTAAATTTATGACGTGATCGTCTTAGTTAGGACCCTTATTTACGTTGTGTTTGTATAGTAGCTTAGTTCTTTTAGGTGTCTCTTGGAAGAATTAATATTCACTAGAGCAATCGAAAGCTGTTGGTAGCGTCTTATAAACTAAAGAACACCGTTCACGAAAACAGAGCTCAAAAAAGGTTTAGAACAACAAATTGTCCCTATTCCACTTGTATCAGATTCACAACATTCAATTCCTTATTAATTAATCCCTTCCCACTTCGAAAAGGCTCACAAATATTCCTATCAAATACCAGATACAAGGGCTTCACTCTCCCACATTTAAAAAAATGTGGAGGAGGCACACGGCTCCACACACGCCGTGCGCGGTGAGCGCTAACCAGTTAACGCGCTCCCCCCGTAAGGAACGTTAAGTTTGGAACTGGACCGTAGTAGACCACAGCAAAATAACTGGCGAACCAGTAAAAGAGGGCTTGTCCCCTTGGTAGCGCGTAAGCACAAACATCGACCGAAGTCGCGCATGTCAATGCGTGTAAACGCCATACAGAATACGATCAAATCCAGCCACAGTGAATGTACGTCACACGGGCTAGGCAACGGTGCCTATTGCACACTGCTCATAAAAAGCCCTCCGCGAACGCCACCACCTGCCAGACCACCGTTCCTGCAGACCTGATATAAGTGTAAGGCATCACCACCAATTGCATGATCAGCACGGCCAATTGGCCGCAGAGCGTGTCATGAGTCTATCACTCACCTCAAGGGAAAAGGATCCCACGTTGCGCGGCTTTCGGCCGCAGCCTTGAGAACCGCCTCAGATTCTCCCTACAGCTACCACCCGCATGAGGTCGACACATATGCTCCACCAACCAATACAATGGCACATATAGCTAGCTAATAGGCAGTTATAAGTTAATAGTAATAATTCGCGATCAGAAAGGGTATGTGTCACTGACTTTGAGTATATGCATTCTTCGATCATGTTTGTCTCACCCACCAATAAGTTGCCTTCAATCATTGAAAGGTGGAAAATTTATAGAGATATATTAATGTTGTTATATAAAACTTCATGGAGGTCAGAAAGTTTGCAGCCCCGCAATGAAGGGACCCGACTTGGGCAAAGCTAGACCAGAGACGCAATGCTGCAGAACGCAACAAGCATCAATACCACTATCGTCGGCTTACACCATCCCAAGTTCCCCCATACAGTCCTAACTGATATCACCACCCGCATACCTCCATCGACCAGAACCACAAGATGCGTCGAATCAGGTGCAGCACACCCCCAGATCCATCACAAGACGCAATATCGCAAGTAGCAGTAAGCATCAATGCAACTATCATACGGATGGCGCCCCCTCACAACACACCCACATGATCCCTATCGACTTTGGTAACAAAATTGATAATGTTGTTAGCTAAAAATACCACCAACGTATCATAGTAGCACGCTACTAAAATGTTAGTAGAAATATTCCACGTATCATAGCGCTATTTCACTAAGACATGGAGTTGAGTATGCTTTAAAAGTACTGCCAAACAGACTCACCCTAATCCGAAAGATCATAACTTATCATAACGCTATGCGCTAAGACGCTGCCCATAAACGGTGGGGGTGTGCGATGTCCACGAGCAAGTCGTATTGCTACAACAAACCTGCTTACCACCGGCACTAAGATGATATGTTGTCTGTGGCAGAATACCAGCGGTGACATCAAATTACCACCTAGCTGAGTCACAGGCCAGTTTGTCTCTTTTTTTGTGTTTTACTTAAGTATGTTGCTTGATAAGTTTGTGATAATTTTTTGTACACTTTTAACTACCATGTATGTGTGAATTGAGACAAATAAAACTCTTTTTATTATTATTATTATTATTATTATGTGGGGTATCTATATAGTATTATTATTGATATTATATGTCTAGGACACATCAGTTAGTGAGTCCAAGTTTACCTCGGTATCGGACGCTGTGAAGCAATCTACACGCCATTATAATAATCCTTTTCAAGTCCCATTTTTTTCAATATAATGCTTTTTACATTTTTTTTTTTTTTTTATAGTATAAGGGTGACAAACGAGCACACAGTCCACCTGATGGTAAGTGGTTGCTGCGGCCCATAGACATCTACATCTATCATCTGTTACAAATCAAAATGTAGATGCGTTGTCACCCGTGAGGACTAAGATGGAATGCCTCATTTCCAGTAAAAAGGGCCTCCGGCCACCTGCACTCACCAAGCGAAACGCAGAGGTAAACCTCTACTTCACGCTGGTTTTCTGTGAGGTCGTGGTACTACCCCGGTTCGAACCGGCCCATCCGTGCGACAGCAAAAGCTGCCGCGTGGCTCTACCACTGTTAAAAACCTACATATTTTACTAACATATTCATACTAACATATACATAACATACATAACTAACATATTTGAGACCTTCCACATATTCGCTTTATTTCATAGACCATACTATTTATGTCTTATAAATATGGGACTTCAAGTCATAACTCTGCTATCATAATGCTTATGCATCATAAAGAAATATATTAATGCTTTGGTTCCATAAACCTTACTATCATAAGTCCCTAATATATGACTAGTCATTGTACAACACTACTATTAGCAGTCGGTCACCCGACCACACCATATATGTCCCACTTCTTTCAATATAATGCTTTTACATATAAGAGACCTTTTACATATTTGCTTTATTTCATAGACCACACTATTATATGTCTTATATATATGGGACTTCAAGTCGTAACTCTGTTATTATAATGCATTATAGATACCTTCTATATTAATGCTTTGGTTCCATAGACCTAATATAGGACTATTAGCAGTCGGTCACGCGACTACCCCATATATATATGTACAACCTTGGGTATGTGTCTCCGACAACGCCCCTCTTATAAGGGAACATTACATGAACACCCTCATTAATTTTAGAAATTTTCCGAGTAATACAAGAACACCTTCATCAACTTAGGAAAATTTTTGATCCATTTTTTTTTCAGTTATATTACAGATGTTATTTATCTTTATTATTGCAATATGATCGACTTGTACGTATATTATTTAAAACAGTTTAAATATTTTAAGCAGAAATTTTATAAATTTACAGATTTTTTAAAGACAATTTTATGCGTTTACTATTCTATAATGTTCAACATTCCAAATGAATTTATTTGAACTTTATGCTCATTATTGCATTTTAATTATATTAATATAATTATAAAGACATTTTAAAATGTCTTTAATCTTTATATTAAATTTAATTATTATTTATTACTAATAATTATGAGGCGTCACAATATGCAAAAGGTACAGGGTATGCGATAGCATGCAGCCTTGTGGAACACCAGTATTCACAGGCTTGGAGTCAAAATGATGAGCATGAACCGCCGAATGCGACCTTAATACTCCGCTCTATAAGAAAACTGGTGACCCAATTGCATTATTTTCTCAGTTAGCCCATAAGAGGGAAGTTTAAAAAGCAGTGCTTTATGCCAAATCCAATCGAAGGCCTTCGTTATGTCCAAATCAACCACCAGGGCCTTCTACTTGGGTCAGGTAGACAAGAAGATGACATGATAAGCAACCTCGACCGAAACCATATTGACGGTCACTAATCAGCTGACGACCTGGTAAGACATGCAGGAATTCGATGGATGCAGGTGGCTCAGGACCGTGCTTTGTGGCATTCCTTGGGGGAGGCCTATGTTCAGCAGTGGACTTATGAAAGGCTGTAATGATGATGATGATGATTCAGCTGATGCTCTTCAAGGTACCTCATGATCTGGCAGTTAATATGGATCCCATTATTTTGGAGACCAAGGAGGTGATGGCGATATTTCTGTAGTTAGACGAGTCCGAGCGTTCCCCCTTTTTAGGGATAGGGTGACACCTAAAAAGTAAAAAGATTCGCGGTGCTAACCCTGGAGCACAAGGCCCGATGAAATGCCCTAATTGTGTTGGATTTCATCGAGCCCACTCCACTTATAGACGTCCAGGAACAGTAGTAATTTACGCACTGATCACACAGTTCTCAGAACCAAACATCCTGCTTTGATTTTTCACACTGCGAGATGGTCGGCAATAGAATCCCCCGGTCATCGAGAGTCGAGTTGGACGCAAAAAGAGAACCTAAAAGCCGGCTTTATCTTTTGCGGCGTGGGCCAGCGAGTCATCCTCCTTGCGCAGAAATGGTAATGATGGCTTACAGAAATTTACTTGGCGATAGAACAGAATGAACGAGTACCCAAAAGAAGGCGAGCTAGTTTCTCGCCAAATCTCTCAATGTGCTCCGACTATGCTGAGACACCGCACCGCTGTGGGGCCTATTATGGCATCCATAGACGTAGGGGTGGTCGTTGCCGTCTATACGTATCCATAGTATGGACAGGTGCTATGTCTTCAAGACTGCCGAGGCGTCGAGAATACATATCCTCTCGACGTACACACAAACTCCAGCACAAGGCAGAAAGAAATCTTCCAGTTTGTAATCTGGGTAGGATGTATCAGCCACGAAGAACTGCTTTTCTGTGAGATCTATCAGACAGAAAGTGTTCACGCGTTCAAGCGTTCCGCATTCACGTTCTACGTTTGTTGTGTTGGTATTACCAACTCCATTTTTTTTTCAATTATGTAACACACCCAGACATACCCAGACACAAAAAGCAGGCATTCTGAACACGTCGGTCAACCAGAACGCAGGCGTTCGCGCGTTCACTGCTGTTTCTGTGTCCACATCGGAAGGAAGATGGAGGCTAAGAAGTTGATTATGTTAGTAATCAACTTCTCGGTCAGAAAGGTGTTTTTATATGATGTGAAGAATGATGATTATAAAAACCGAAGAATAGTAGCAAAAGCATAGTTGGAAATTGCCAGAGAAATGGGGACCGAAAATGAAATATAAAAATTTCTTTGTCAGTAAGCCATTTACAAAACAATCTATGAAATTCTCCATTTTGTTCTCTATTCTTATTTATTGGGTGCACGCAATGTTTCCTTTTCCGTTTTCATGCTGCTAATGTCCATAGTATCAATAATTCGTCTTCCGATGAAGAACTATCGTCAAAAACATGGTGACTGTAGTGGCACTGCGTAGACCGTCCAACAGCACGTATTGGGAGGAACTGAACGCTTGAACGCGTGACCGCTTCCTGCCTGATAGAATCCTAAATGTTTCAATGACGTTGTAAGAATTCACAGCGACGTGGGATGGGGTGCTGTAGCGATTTTGCTCCATTTGCTCCATGTAAAATGTGAACATAGCGTATTTGTACCCCCCCCCCCCCCCCCTCATAGAATACGTGGTGCACGTGGTGGCCTAGTTTACGCGGTGATGCCCATTGAGGGATTCTCGAATATTATCGATGTTGGTACCCTTCTGGGGTAGATTTTTATTCAACACCACTTTTATGTTTTTTTCCATGAGCTATTGTAAATTACAACATAGTTTATTTGCAAAACACATAATTATCTCTATATTATATAAAAATCAATTGATGTCCGTTAGTCTCGCTAAAACTCTAAAACGGCTCTAACGATTTTTTGGAATTTTTGTGTATGTTTGAATGGGTCCCTTAATATATAGTATTCACAATAAGACCCGGTAGGTGGCGCTGTTGTCGAGTTCCAGAAATCATCCGTGCAAAGCCGGGGCTGATCGCTAGTAGTTTATAACAAATAGCCGCTAGAGAATCTGCCTTAGCTAAAACTATTAGGTCTTCATCATATGTTCTCGACATTTTATTTCTCAATCATCCAGGTTTCTTCGTGATGTTTTTCTTCGTAACCACACACATGGAAAATCAACACTTAAGAAAATTTCCGTGCCAGCGAGAAAAAAACTCTGGCTGATCGCTTAATATGAGCTACATTTCATAGTGATCCATAAGCTAGTAAGATCCGAGCTACTGCCATAATAACCTAAAGCGTAGCTTTATAAGATAAAAACATCATGAAATATTTCAAACTGACAATTATTTTGCAATAGTTAATCATCAAAAACACGGCAGTTCTTGCCACGACAAACATATTCTTCTTCATCGTCAGCCCGTGAACGTCCATTACTGAGCGTGGTCTTCCACCTTTGTGAGGCTTCGCCTTCATAAGCACGCTTAGCAGGCGCATTCATGATCGTAATACTTACCAGAAATCTCGCATATTTACCAGACCGGCGACCAGCAGTATCTGATGCTACTGCTACTTGTCTGGGTGTTTCTAGGTTTAAGTATTGCGACCGCCAATCGTGTCTATTATGTCAAATCCTCCCTTTAATGGGAGAGATTCCTGTCCAGCCTATTACGGACAGACAAAGAAGAAGTATTTAACTGACTCACATTATTCCAGAAATTCTCTGAAGAACGCTACAGCTTCAATCACACACGCATCCACCGAGGCTACTGCGTTTCATCAAGATGTTCAGACGTCGACGAGGTATCTTTAAACAGAAAGTTCGTGAAGTGCGTCAAAAACATTATCCGAAAAGATTATGGCTTAGATGCAAAACTTTCAACCCTCGACTACTGCAAGACAAGTAAAACACCGCCATCGAGACCAATCGACGGTCTTGACATAGCGTTCATTTATTTCTGCGGAGTTATACTGTTAATGAATGTGATTGGAACTATTTACGACTTCGCACGCAACCCTGACCACGAACGTGAGTAACATGGCTATTAAATTAACAGGGTTATTAAATCATTCATACAAAATAAACCGAAAATTCAGTAAGAGTTTCTATCTAAAGAGCAACGGCTTTATTTATAATCATTGATTATCGCTTACTTAAATTAAGTATATATTAATTGGTATACGTTTCGTATTATTTGAATTGGCAATTTCCTTCCCAAATTTTCGATTTCGATTTTCCGTTCTAAGATTTTTTAAAATAAAATGAAGCCACAATCAGTGGCCATAAAGTTCAATAACCTGTTAGCATCAAAAAATTTAAATTTTTTCGCTGTTTGTACCTACATAAATCCTCTCTATGCCTAATTTATACATTGTTTTGTTACAGCTAACCGGTATTTGTTAGCTTGGTCCTTAGCTAAGAGCTGGAAACTACTGACAAATTCGTATGAAAATGGAGACCCTAGGCTTACATCTTTTAATCCTATCAATGGAATGAAGTAAGTTCTTATTTAAGGTATATTTAATATTATACGGCTTATTTTTGTTACTGTAGTTCTAACCGTTCAGTGGCGGCTTAAAATTATCCACAAATTATCCACTTTAGAGGCGAAAGAGAGAGAAACGACCGTGTATTTTACGTGAATATGTGTACGTAACGAAATGACCGCAAAGTGGAAGCGATCACGCCCTACGCCGCGCGCGATGCGCCACAGTCCTCAATCAACGTAACGAATTCTTTGATCCTTTGGATATCACGTGGTGTTATTATGGATTGAATTTCGGATGTAGATGATAGATATGTAGCTGTAACACCAAACTGTATCCACCGATTTTGCTATCATCAGTTTTCTGAATCCCCGTGTAGTGGCGGGTAAGAATACTCACTACCCCATATATTCCCGTGGGTGTCGTAAGAGGCGACAGAGGGAAACTGAGGCAGAGGATGGGCAGCAGCATCTTTCTGATAACAGCAAAACAACAATAAAAAAATACGGTTGTCAACCCGCTCGCCAAGCGTGGCAACTATGGTAATATACCCCCCATGAGCAACGACACTAATAAACGGCCCCCAGTCCCCGGCGGCCCCGCTATTCCTAACTACGGTGACGATCATGGTAACGGCGGGGCAGGGAGTGCTAAGAATCTCCGGTGGAGGTTCGGTTGCCACCTACGACGACTCGACCTGGCAACTTATAACGCACGCACCCTGAGGACTGACGAGAAGATCCTGGAGCTGGAAAAAGAGATAGACGAGTTGTGCTGGAATAAATAGGATTATCCGAGGTCCGAAGAGAGGGGGAGGACACGGTAATCCTCGAATCCGGCACCTTGTTCTATCACCGGGAGGGCGACCATCCGTCCTAAGGAAGTGTCGGATTTATCGTCCACAAGTCTCTCGTTCAAAACGTTGTAAAGATTGGGAGTGTGTCGACGAGGGTTGCGTACCTTATACTCAGAGTCACCAAACGGTATTCGCTAAAGGTCATACAGATTTACGCCCCAGCCTCGGCACACCCCGATGAGGAGGTGGAGGAAATGTATGAGGATATCTCTAGAGCCATGCATTCCTCCAAAACCCAATATACGGTGTTAACGGGAGACTTCAACGCAAAACTAGACACAAGAGAGAATGGTGAGCTGAAGCTAAAGTTCGGAATAGGGCAACGGTACCCAAGGGGCCAATAGCTGGCCGACTTCATAGAGAAAGAGGGACTCTTTATGATAAACTCTTTCTTCCAGAAGCGGCCCCACAGGAAGTGGACCTGGTCGAGCCCCGACGGTTCGACAAAAAATGAGATTGACTTCATTACGACGACCAGACGACAACTGTTCAGTGATGTCTCAGTGATCGCGAGGGTGAAAATCGGCAGCGATTACCGAATGGTGAGAGGCACACTGAACCTAAGCGTTAAGTTGGAGAGGTCACGTCTAATGAAGTTAACCCTCCGTCCCCCTCGTGCTCTAATCCAAAGTCCCGAAACGTTTCAGCTCGAGCTACGAAACCGTTTTCAGTGCCTAGAAGATTGCAATGCAGTGGACGAAGTTTTGCAAGACCCGCCGCAGAAAAACACAATAACTCTCCGATCACACTCTTAATCTCATGGCTGTTAGACGGGATATGAAGCTGCAGTCTGTAGCTGCAGTAGATTTGACAGCATACAGGCAACTGAACAGACAGATCTCCAAATGCATGCAGCGGGACTTACGCAACTTTAATACTGCTCGTATTGAAGAAGCGATCGAGCGGAACCAGGGCTCCGAAGTCTTTGCTAGAGATCTGTCTGCCAGAAAGAGCCAACTGTCGAAGCTGAAGACCGAGTGTGGCAGCGTCGTTTCCGGGACACCTGAGATTTTGAGTGAGATTGAGAGGTTCTATGGGCAGCTGTACACATCATCGTTGGAGCCACAAGTAAGTGTGAGTAACGATCCAAGAGCGAGTCTTATCCGACATTATTCCGATGATATCCCGGACGTCAGTCTGAGCGAGATTATAATGGCACCTTAAAAACGGCAAGGCCCCAGGCGAGAATGGAATTACAGCGGATCTTCTGAAAGCGGGTGGAAAACCGGTACTTGAAGTCCTTCAGAAGCTCTTTAATTCCGTCCTCAATGGTGGCATTAAACCGAAGGCGTGGAGCAGAATTGCGGTGGTCTTGTTCTTCAAGAAAGGTGACAACGCTCTCTTGAAGAACTACAGACCGATTTTCCTTCTAAGCTGCGTCTACGTGCTGTTTTCGAGAGTCATTACGAATCGTCTCGCGCGCAGACTTGACAACTTCCTGCCTCCCGAACAAGCCGGTTTTCGAAAAGGCTTTAGCACCATAGACCACATACATATCCTTCAGAAAATTGTACATAAGTCCGGAGAGTACAATTTGCCACTATGTCTGGCATATGTGGACTATGAGAAAGCCTTATATAATAATTTTGAATAGAGTAAGCTGTTTGTTTGAAGGTCCCTCAGTGGTATCGGTCCAGCAAAATTGCCTATGGTAAACGGTCCCACATAGAGGTCGTACGTGGAAGATAATTCCTAATAAATCGCACAGTGATGGACCGCTAAACATTCAGATGGTGTGGATAGTATCGTGAGTTTTGTCGCGATGTGCGTAGTGCCTCATAATTACTTAGTCAGGTCATAAGTTCTGTCAAAAACTTTTTATAAAATTAATGATACACTTTTTGACAATTATATAGAAATTATATATGAAATGAAAGGTAATTTAATTTAGAATACAATTTTATTTTTCTTTTTTTATTCAAAATGCCCTCCCCTATTTTGAATACATGGCCTTAATCGATGTGGCCAATCATCAATCGCAGCACGCACCACATTCATATCTATTTCTGCCGTTGCTTTAGCCAAAGATGACCGGAAAGATTCCAAATTCTGAAGAGGTTTAGCGCAGACTTTCTCCTTCAAACGTTGCCATATCTTGTAATCCAGTGTGCTTAAATCTAGACTAGAAGAGGGCCAGTCTTCATTTCCGATAAAGTGAATTCCACGGGTGGTCAACTAGTTTTGCGTGCTTCGTACCCTATGTGCTGGTGCAGAGTCCTGTTGGATTATCCAATGTCTGTTTTTGAACATTGTTTGAGAAAGAGGTTCCACTATGTTCGTTAGGACGGTATTTTGGTACACCTCGGCACTGGTTTTTACACCTTTTTCACAGAAAAACACTTCAGTTAAGCCTGAATATGAGTCTCCAGGCCAAACCATGAGTGATGAAGGATAACGTCCTCGTGGAACCTTCGGAATATGCGTGCTGGCTTCTTTACTGCTGTGGGCATACACCTTCTCATTTTGTTTATTATAACTTTCTTCGATGTTAAAAATTTTTTTCATCCGAAAACAAAATTTCGCGGCATTTTTTCCCGCGTACCGCCATAACAAAGCGCGGGATCTACCCAGCCAAATTTTTTTCAAACGCTCGTTCAAAAAATGTCTGGACGTCTTACGATAAGCTCGTAGTCTTAGGTCTTCATTGATTAGTCTTTTGACTGTGGTTCTGCTTAGGCCCATCTAAAAAGCTAAGATTTTTTGTTTACGGACAGTATTTCATTGGATTCGAGCCTTCACTGCTTTGATGATCGCGAGTGTCGTAACTGTACGGGGTAGGCCGGTACTCTTACGATTTTCGAAGCTTAAATCTTCAGTGAATCGTTTGATGGTGCGATAAACAAATCGTAGGGTTATTTTCAATTTTTGTAGAATATTAAAAACCTCTTTTGGCGCAACCACAGCGGTGCAACCCGATAACCGCTTCTCTATCTTCTTTCTTCGACCACTCTATATTTGAAAATTAATGAAAATTAATGTCTTTTTTATTTTCAGCAAGCGCAAACGCTATATTTTTAAAATTGGTGAAGTTGATCTAGACAGTATGCAAAAAATTTAAATAATAAGGTTTTGACAGAACTTATGACCCGACTAAGTATTTTAAGTTAAAGAACCCCGTTCAGGAGGAAAGGACTAAAAGGTTAAGATCATTAAATCGTCCCTATTCCACTTGTATCAGGTTTACATCAGTCAAATCTTTATTAATTATTCCCTTCCCACTTGGAAAAGGCTCACTATATTTATATAAAAATACCCGATTTAAGGGTTTCACTCATTTAAAAAAATATGCCTTTAATATATCGGTTTGCGAGTCCACGTTTACTGCGGTCTCGGACATGGCGAAGCAGTCTACACGCCACTATAATAATTCTTTTCAAGCCCCATTCCTATCACTATAATACTTTTACATATTTGACCTTCCACATTTTTGCTTTATTTCATGGACCTTACTATCATATGTCTTTTATATATAATCAGATGATTTGATCGACCCCGAGGAAAACCGTATTGGCGGTCATTAATCAGCTGGTGATCCTCAAGGTACCTCATGACCTAGCAGTTTATAATGGATTCCATAATTATCCACGCCGGAATGGAGAAGCTGTATGCGTTAAGGGCGAGAGGTTGTTTGTTTGTTTGTGTGAGTAAACGAATATTCCTATTTATCTCCAAAACGTTAAGACCGATTAATACACAGTTTTCTGTAAAAGGTTTGTGATTTAAAGGAAATGGTTCTAAGATAGGTGTGATGATGTTAACTTACCAGGAGGCGCTGCAATAAACATATTATCTTGCAACTTTAAACCTCGATCTGGACACTTTTCAAATGGCTGAGGCGATTACATGTAACATCGATTATGTAAAAAACCACATAAACAACAAATGTAAACTAAATCTTTTGTGTCAAAATATACGTAGCATTAACTGCAACATGCCCAATTTAATCACACTTCTCCACCGATCAGAAATATCCTGGGATATTATAGTCCTAACAGAATGTTGGCTTTCTTCAACGAGGCAAATTCCTGAACTTGAGAATTATCATGTTATAGATACATAATGAGAACTTCAGTTGTCCCCATTGTAAAAAACCGTACTGGTGACGTATCAGAGAGATCGAACTACAGACCAATATCATTGGCAACGACAATAGCC